AATTCTAGATACAGTTCATGCTAGAACTTTAAAACATGTATGTCATACCCGCTTAGAAGGCGTGGGTGGGAGACAGATAATCACAAATAATCACATTGGGAACTACTGCAATCAAACATTTATCTCCATGATGGAGTCATACACAGTGAGCAATTCATACTGATAATCAGGGTCTTCATTTCCCATTTCACGAGACGACCAAGTTCTCCACCCACCAGGGACAGAACATTCCTCTGACACCTCTAGTGTCTCCACCTTCCTGATCTTCTCTCGAGATTATCCCCATACCCAGTGAACTCTGAGCAGCCTACCTGAATGACAAGACCCACGCTTGCAGAGAAACAGACAGAATGGAGACAGACTTATAAATCAGGCCAGCAACACCAGTGATGGCAGCGTGGGTTCTCTAACATTTTACACAAAACAGTTCAGAAATCACCACTGCTTTAACGTGCATGCTCTTTGAACATGCATATCATCTTTATGGGGCGCCTAATACACAGAAAAATTAAGTCTTGAAAACAAATCTCCTATCAGAAAATACAGAGAGCACAATGGTCACACAGCTTGATTTTATTTTACCTTCAGTATAGCTGCATTTTTAAAAAGCATCAATAAGTTCAATTTTTAAAAATCAAGGATACAAACACATTTTTCATGGTCCCAAAGTGACTTCACAGTTCTTTAGCAGTCTTTTATAATAAATTTTTCATATGGAATAGTCTTAATTGTTCATATTTCTTCTCTGTACGAGTGCGGACGATGACTCTGCCCACTAACATTACGGATGAGGTGGACGTGAGTAGCAGTGATAAATCCCACCTCTCGTTACAGATAAGGCTGGGAGTGAAGAGGAGGGCGGTGCCCTCCGCCGGCCGGGTGCCCAGCTGGACCTTGGAGGCACAGGCTAACCTGAGGTCACAGGAGTCCAGGCCTCGCTCAAGCCTCTGACTTGGTACGAAAATGCTGGAATACGGCTCTGTTGATTTTACATTAAGGCTTCCCAATTGTAAAGAATGCTGTGAACCAACACCAGTGCTTCCTTTTTAAGTGAAAAAAGGGAGATTTTTGTTTTCCCTTGCCACCATATAGAATATTTTTGTGTATCACATTTTAACACTGCCAAAAATCACCAAAGGACCTGTGGATGGAACCTTCTGTGCTTTCTCCCCATCTTAGCACTGGTAATTTGAAAGTGCACACGTGTTTCATACAGAGCTGCTATCTGGGCTGCAGGCTGAGAGGGAGAGGTGAAGACAGGCCCTGGCGGTGGTCTGCAGCACCACCACCCTGCCTGCCTGCACCAGGAGGAAGAAATGAGCTCGGACTTCTGCCGGCAGACGACGAACAGGCAGTGCCTGAAAGAACACAGCTCAGTAATAAAGAAATGCCCCCGTGTCTGCCGCAGCTTGTAAAACACAGAGTGGCGACCGGCGCTGTCTGCCAAACACGGAGGAAAAAGCAGGTGGGAACCCGTGCCTTCCTGCCTCCAGGGAGAGTTTGAAAACAATGGCCGCTCAGCCCTTTAGCACTGCTATTAATTAGCTTTAAATGTGAACAGTTCCCGAAATGTATTCGGATAACTTTGGAGGTCCCTGCTACTTATGATTCTCTGACACTCAGTCTCAGTGACAGTGTTGGCTGTTCCAGACAGACACCCATGCTTGTTAGGCCCAATCACCTTCTAATTTATATCTGAAAAGTTTTGAAATGGAAGAAATAAATCTCATCTCTCCTGCATTTGAACTTACAGTAATTGTTCTAAATGGCTGATAAATCTTCGCTATTTCCTTAAAAAAAATTTTTTTTACTATCTGATTTAGTGAGCGTGTATTAGGTACTTCTACTCTAGCAATGAAGTCAGCATGGTTTAATTGCTAAGGCTATGGAACCTGCTCAAGCTTGGCTCGGCCACCTAGCTTTGTGGTTAGTGCCTTTATCGTTCCTAAAATCTTACCTCCCAGATAAAAATCATGGTGGCTTCTAGATATAAGTAGTGGTTTTTAAAAGAAAGGGTTATATATCATAAAGCCCAGGAGCTATTGATTATTTAAAGTTACATCCTACCAAGTGTCGTATGTGAGAGAACGCTCATTTTAAAGTAAAGGATGTCCTCCATTTGGAGTGAGCCGCAGCAGGGCCTTTGCCTTCCTGCCCCTTCCCAGAACAAGATCTGACACACATCTGTTTGTGCAAGTGACCTGAGCGTGCGGATGGGAAGTTGGGGTCCCCGTGTGTCTGACACCACCAAGGCTGGGGAGGGGGAGGGGCAATTCCTAAATTGTCTACCGTGTCTTCTTTCATGATCAAAACAAAAACAAAAAAAAATTACAATTAAGAGGATGCATTTTTATTTTGGGAAAAAAGTGCAAAAAAACCACCACCCAAAAAGAAAATCCAAAAGCAAGGGCGAAGTGGCTGTGGCCATGCACTGGCCTTGTATGCATGAGGCCCTGGGTTCCATTCCCAGCACCACAAAAGGCGAAGCAAGTGTAAAACCAAGGCCAATCAAAATGCTCCTCGATACTTGCTTATCTCACAACTGTCAATCCTTGTTAACTTTCTCTATAGAAACAGAACACAGAGCCATTGACAGAGACCAGCACCTCCAACTCCACTTTTCCATAAGAACCAAGGAACGCAACTCAGAAATAGTACATCCTGCATTTTATTCGGTTCCAGCTGACAAACACAGAACCCGAGACCAGGACATCCATTTCAGCCAGTGGAGGTGTCACAAAAGGTTGATCATAAAAAATATTGGATCTAGGTAACAACCCCAGTCTCTCAGGACAGCCCTCACCCTACGTGGAACTACAATATAAAAATAGTGTCTCTTCACCACGCAGGAGGAGCTGCCCGGAGGAGCCAGTCTGCATGCACTTCATGAGCCATCTTATTTATTACACTGTACATTTCTCTTTTCTTCTGTTATATATACATCCTTTTGATATACACATCCTTTTGGGAGAAGGAAGAGCACTAACGTGGTGCTAAATACCAACCTCCACAGCAAAAGGACATAGATAACAAAACATTCGGCTGTGGAGCCCGGTGCTAACGCCGGCCGCCTTGTGTTTCTCCCCCACACTGAACCCACCAGACATCCCGAGGAGGTGGCCCGGTTGGCCACCGTGCCTGACCATGTGAGAAACAGTCCTAGAGTTCCATGTCCACTTCAAAGAAACAAACAGCTAACAAGCCTTTGAAACTTGGCTCAGCAACAAGTCGACAGAAGCAGCCCGTTTTCCCACAGCGCCTTTTGGTGTTGGGGTAGCTGTGTTACAAGACTGTTCTATTTTTGTTTCCTATGAGAAGATTCACTGTCTGATTTGGTCTTCAGGAGCCGACAGCCCCTCTCACGGTTACCCGGCTACCTACAACATCTCTCGGGCAATTCTGTTGTTTGAAGTTCGTCGTGTCAGCTCCCGGCATGCTTCCGACACACAAAATGAGGTAGTACACACAACACTGACGTTCAAGTTTTAATTTAGGCCCGCCTCCCGGCTCCTGACCTCTGCAGCACAGTTCAGACAGTCATCAGGGGAAAGATTGTATCCTCAATCATCAGAAGACAGTGTGCTGTTTGATTTTCAAACACAGACCATGAGACTTTCTACGTTATGACTGATCACACTGCCGGACACTTGCTTGTGCTCTCAGTTATTGATACAATAGCCAGTGCCACAAGCAGGCAGATTGTGTGTATGTGTGTGTGCACGTGTGTCTGAAGGAGCTGGAGGCCTATGACAGACCCACACTTACACAATGCTCTTCTAGTTACTTCCTAGCCTAGACCAGTGTCACAGTCCTAGATTTGTCACAGCTCTTACATGGGCTTTGCAGAAAAGTTAAATCAATCTTGTGAATTTAGGAACGGCAGGCCTGATTGCACTGAAGCGCTGCTGACAAGTCTGGGTGGTTTTGCTGCTGGCGTAGCATAGATTTCTCATGTTGTCTACCTCAAGACAATAAATCATAACAGGATTGCTTCCCCCAGCTCCCTTAAACCAAAGTACTATTTATAAAACACTTTACTTCTTTTAAAATTTTCAAATTATAGACAAACCTCCCTACTACAAAATACTAAAAGTGCAATCATATAAATTAAGAGTTTGCGACCACATTATACAAACATTACCTTTTTATTGTACGGTTTTGATAATGTGAAATATTTACTCACAACTGTTTATAATGCTGTGAATGGTGACGTTTGTCTGTAGCTCGTTCCCTAATCAATCACCGGGCTACAGACCAAACCAGAAAAAAACAAAAACAAAAACAACTGTTCACAGAGCAGCTACAAACACTTAAATTAAAAAAGGAGCGGAGGGAGGGAAGGCTCGTCAGGACAGGCACCCGCACGGGAGAAGCATGCGATCTTTCCCAACAGCGCCACGACTCTGCCTGCACTGGATAATCCTCGTACTTATAGTAAAACAAGTCTTGCTTAAAAAAAAAAAAAATCACATAGCCAGATGTATTCTGCAGTACAAAAGCTTCATTTGAAGTTGGGCTATTTTATTGTCTGTTACCCGCATTATCTTAACATTATAAATACTACCGACAAAGACACGGTCGTAATACACAGCAGTGGCAACACCAAACCACTCCTTTGAGACGAAGAGTTCCTAAAACATAGTTCAAGTTCCTATCTAATGGGAGCAGATCTGCGGGAGGGGGCTGGCTGGGATGCCACGGGGCACGGCTCCCCTCAGAGGGTAACAAGGTTGGCTATGGTCTGAGCTCTCTCCGTTCCTAAGGCAGTTTTCTGAGCACTGTTGGAGACTGGGGTTTGTGGAGAAGGTTGCGGGGTTCTTAACAGTCAGAACCCCTGTTGCGCTCACCAGACCACCTTTTGGCAGCTACACGGTGAAAGTACATTCTGCCACGAGTAAAATGTTCATGAGAATCTAGGATAGAGGGTCCGAAGCCTGACGCTCAAACTGCAAAATGTGGGTGTGGGGCAGAGCGGACGGGCAGGGCCCGGGTGCCGGCCGCTAGTTGATACCAATCTCCTTGTTATCCTCAATGAACCTGGTGAACGGCCGGCCAGTTCCGGCCTCGGAGCTTGCCTTGTCCAGGCTGACCATGGGCGGGCTGCTGCCCGTGCGTAGCTTGTCCACCGCGCCGGTCCCGGCGCCCAGGGGGGGGATGGCGCCTCCGCCTAGACTTACTGGGAGTGGGGGCACGCCTCCGTTCTGGATGACGGAGATCTCGTTGTTCTTCATGGCCAGCCCGTTCGTGATGGCGGCCGCATACTGGTTCCAAAAGCTGGGGTCCACGTTCATGGCCCGGGCCGCCAGGTCCTTCTGCAGCATCTCGGAGAACTTGAGGGCGTCCCCGCCCAGCAGGGCCATGGGGTTGTCCACGGACAGGCGGCGGCCACGCCGCGCGGGTGCGTTATTCCACATGTGCGTCCCCATGTGTACCTGCGTGAGACACGGAGAGACAAGCCACCAGCCAGTGAGCCAGCACCACCAGGGCGCCCTGTCCGCCGCTGCACGCGGGCAAACGTTCCTGAGCATGCTGCGGCCTTTCCGCTTATAAATCCAGCAAGGAAACCATCAAGGAAGTTAATGAACCTGTTCTCTCAGTTAACAATTCTGATAAGGCAGTTCTTCTCGTAATACAAATCCCAGAAGGCCACCAGAGAACCTTCTAGAACTTCAAGAATGAGAGGCCTTGTCCTGGGTTTGGTTACCTCCCACCCCCCGCCACCCCCCCAGACCTCTGGAATGGGAACGGTGTGACTGCCTCTCTCCTCTCGCTCCCTCACACAAGGAAGCTTCACTTGTGAAGCACCCGGGGCCTCTGGCAGCAACGCAGCCGGCAGGCGGCTTTTATGAGCCGCAGGCACTGGCCTTTGGCTGCCCCTGCAGTCTGCTGAGGCCCAGACGGGCGGTCTCGGTGGGTGCTCATGCATTCGGAAGACAGAGCCCAGGCACAGCGCAGCCTGGAGGGTCAGCGATGCTGGCCGGGGGTCCTCCAGGAGGATGGACAGGGCCACGGTGGTCTTACGTAGACCCACACTCCTGTGTCTGTTTTTCTCCAGGCCGCAAAGTGCTCAGCTTGTCACCCACCCGCCTGTCCTCTCAGCAGCGACACCGGCAATGGGACATTCCAGAAGTCACAGAGCAAGCCCCACCCCTGTACTGTCTGTATTTTTTGTGCTTTAAGGCCAAGTTAGCCACCATCCCAGGACCCAGGAGGGTGGAGGCTGTCGGAGGGGAGGATGGCCGTACCGCTGCATGGAGGCCGGGCCTCCGCTCCCCTCTCGCTACTGCTTCACGGAACATACCGAGAGAGCACGTGTGCACAGCCACGCACCCACACAACACCCGGGGAAGACTCACTCCCTTGCCTCACCGCACATGCACAGAACCTCTGCCCCTGTGCCTCACACCCCGCCAGGGCCCTGGGGGAGGTGACATCCGTCTCTATGGCAGCCCGGGCGAGCGGAGGCTCACAGCACCACCATGGCCGAAGCGGAGGCCCTCTTACCTTGAGGTTGCCCTTGGTGGTGAAGGCCCGGCCACAGATGGTACAGCCGAAGGGCTTCTCCCCGGTGTGAGTGCGCTCGTGGATCTGCAGGGCGCTGGCTGAGGAGAAGGTCTTCCCGCATGACTGGCAGTTATGCTGCTTTGGAGTCCGGCGCGGCGGGGGGGCCAGCATGGGTGCCAGACCGGGGCTCATCACGGCCTGGGGCCCCGTAGGGAGCGGGACTCCGGCGGGCAGGGGTGGGGGCGGACCCTCACCCGGCACAGGGGCCTTGACGTGGCCGTTCACTTCCATCTTGATCATGGTTGGCGTGGGACTGGCGACCAGGCCAGGAGTGCTGTGGCTGGGACCTAGGGTAGAGTTGGGGTCAAATACCTGAGAAGGCAGCTCTTTCAATCTGTGCGTCAGTATGTGCTGCTTTAAATTACCCATAGTGGAACAGCCCCGCCTGCAGACCGTGCAGACAAACGGCCGTTCCTTGGTATGGCTGCGGTGGTGGATTTCCAGCGCACTCTTGCAAGCGAAGGGCTTCCCACAGACACCACACACAGTGCTCGCACACTTACCGCGCTCTCTGTTGAGGAACAGCAAGCCAAAGGGGGTCTCCTCCTTGATGGCCGGCCGGCCGGGGGGGCCCGCCGTCAGGTCCAGGGCGCCTCCGTTCCCGGGGCCGGCGGGCGGGCTGTCGGGCCTCTCTGTCTTGAGGGGAATCTCTTGAGGATCCTCCTGGGCGCCGAGGCCGGGGGACTTGGAGCGGAAGCTCTCCCCATGGCTGTTGGCGGGTGACGGTGCCTGCGAGGACTCAGACTCGGACAGGGCGGGGCTGCCGGCGCTCCTGCTCTCCAGGTCTCCCGCGGCCGAGGACGAGTCGTTGCTCAGGCGGTCGCTGTCCCCGGACCCGTTCTCCACGGACTTCAAGCCAGCCAGCTGCGGGCAGTTCATGACCGAGTCGATCATCTTCATCTGATTCTCCAGGGCGGCGATGCTGGAGATGACCGAGGGGGGCGAGGGTGGGCATGACCCCGAGAAGGAGAGGAGCGGTTTGGACGAGTCGCTGGCCGTGTCTTTGAGCTCCGCGTCCTCCTCCATGGAGTTGTCATCGATGTCGTCGTCATAGCCGCTCAGCGTCTCCGCGCTCAGCTCGGCGTCCCTGGCGTCCTGGAAGCCGTCGGGCAGCGGCGTGTTGGGGATCTGCCCGCCCGTGTGCATGCGGATGTGCTGCTGCAGGACCACGGCGTTGGTGAACTTCCTCTGGCAGATGGGGCAGGAGTGCTGCACGCGCAGGGGCGGCTTGGCGCGGTGCACCCCGAAGTGCGTCTTCAGGTTGCCTTTGGTGGTGAAGGCGCGGCCGCAGATCTTGCACTTGAAGGGCCGCTCACCCGTGTGCGTCCGGTAGTGCATCTTGAGCGCGCTCTGGCAGCTCAGCACACGGTGGCAGATCACACATTGGTTGGGGTCAGTCATCTTTTTGTCGATGTTCTCTACCAGCTGCTGCAGTTTCGAGGTCTCCGACGTCTGCATGGAATCGAGCAGCCCGCCAAAGGGAAACTGGGCCTTGAACTGGTCAGAGACCGCAGGAAGCCCGGGGCTGCCCAGGCTCGCAGAGGCGCTGTCCGTGACGGTGGTGGCCGAGGATGTGGGCAGTCCGCCCACCTGCCCTGCCACCACGGGAGCCTCTCCGGTCCTGGCACTGGCACAGGGCAGGCTGACCGGCTCGGTTTTCGTCAGAGCAGGCCCACCGAGGAGGGGCTGTGGAGACTCGGCCGGCCCCGCCAGGCCAGACTCGGTGTGGCCGAGGCCCGGGGACATGCAGTCGCTGGACGCGGGGGAGGGCCTCTGTGGGGAGCGGCTGGCAGGGGTAACGCTGGGGGAGTCGCTGTAGCTGTGGGTGCCTGTGACGGTCGGGGGCAGCTGCAGCCCCACGGACGTGGGCACCGTGGGCAGCACGGGCTTGCTGTCCAGCCAGGTAGTCACCGGCTTCTCGGGGGGCAGCGACATGCCGTAGGGGATCCCCGAGCAGGTGGGCACGTTGTCCAGGTACTCGGGGACGGGGTAGGGGTTCATCTGGATGTGGGGGTACTTCTCCCTGTGCCTCTGGAAGTGCACCTTCAGGTTGCCCTTGGTGGAGAAGCGGTTCCCGCAGACGTTGCACTTGAAGGGCCGCTCCCCGGTGTGCGAACGCAGGTGGATCTGCAGCGCGCTGTCGCTGCCGAAGACCTTGGCGCAGAACCTGCACTTGTGCTTGAAGAAGGGGTCCTCGGTGCTGGCCTTGGGCTCGAACACCGACACGTTGGGGGGCTTGCCCTTGCGGTGCTTCATGAGGGCCGCCAGCGGGTCCAGCGCGTTGGCCGTGGCGGCGATGCTGACCAGCGGGTTGGGGAAGATGACGCTGCTGCCGCCGCCGCCGGCAGCCGAGGTCTGAGGTAGCAGGGGGTTTGGCAGTCCGGGGCCGGAGCCTGGGGGCGGCCCGGGGGCCAGGGCCGGAGACGTGGACGCGCTC